GTGCTGGGGTGGCATCCGGGTGCCATGGGGAGGAGGGACAGAGAGGAGTGTGCTGGGGTGGCATCCGGGTGCCATGGGGAGGAGGGACAGAGAGGCAGTGTTTGATCTCTTAACAAAGAAATGGGAAAACATTTCTTTCTAGGGCTGAGAAAAAGCAGTGTCATTGAAATGTAGACCCCCATAGTCCTTCCGCTGTCATTCTGGACAAACCTGGGGCAGGATCGTAACCCAGACACTTCTACACTCCTTCCTGACCTGTCTTACTTTCTGCACTGAGCCTGAGCACAAGACAACATAGCCCAGTCCCCCAAATCCACAAAGGAGAAATTATTCTTTGATATGACTTCGGGACAGAAAAATCACTCCGTCGAATTCCAGAGACGGTTGTAGATGCAAGAAGCCCTGATTGGCCTTGCTAATCCCTGGTCTCATGAAAACCCAGCTCAATTTCCTATTTCCTTTGAGCCCAGAGGCTGCGCTGACTCACTGCAGCAGGCAAGCGTGCGCAGCTGCCTCCAGACTGTGCAGCAGTTCACAGGCCAGCTGCACCCCACCCACAGCCACTCACGGCCATTTAACCTTCTCAGCCCCGGGGGTTCTGAACCCACCCCCCAGCAGTCCTCTCAAAAGCGAGGTCGGTTGACTGTTTTTACCATTTGTTCCAATTCCCCACTTTTAAACTTGTGACCAACTTGCTGATTTCTCTTCCCATCTAACATTTGAATTCCTAAATTCTACCTATTCTGATCACCAGATGTCACAGCAACCCCCTCCACCTAAGATTTTCTTAGAATGATTTTAGACGAGGGGTCTTTAAAGTCCATTATATAGAGAAAGGAAGAAGGACCCAAGTGCTGCAGAGCTCGGACAGCTATGAGGGAGACTGAGGCCCGACTGTCTGTTCATTTTTAATGGAGCAATCTGCTGTAGCTCTGTAAAGAGGCTTCAACCCCACTGATTTAAGTCACTAATACTCTGCCTTAATAATCGGAATCGACTCTGATACCTTTTTTAATGACTTCCTTTTGGCATCCACGGTTTACTGAACCTCGGTCCCCATGACAACATAAATCACATTTTCTTAAAGGAATTTTGGTTTCTAAAATGCTCTAATATATCTGCCTCAGGGGATTATTTGGTCTTTGAGACAAGATCTCCTATGCATGCAGCTAACCCTGCTCTTAAGTTCCTGCCCCAGCTTCCTTGGTGCCGGAAATGGAATCATGCACACCTGGCTTAGTAGAAAATAAATTAAGAAAAAAAAAAGCCCCAGGGAAAACTGATGTTTGTCCAGGCTCGGGCACTGTTGCCTTGGGCTTCCAGCCATGTAAGCTGCACTCCAGGCTCTCCCACTTTTAGTATGCCTCTCCTGTACCAGAGTCTTGTTTTGTTTTGTTTTTCAAGACAGGGTTTCTCTGTGTAGTTTTAGTGCCTGTCCTGGATCTCGCTCTGTAGACCAGGCTGGCCTTGAACTCACAGAGATCCGCCTGGCTCTGCCTCCAGAGTGCTGGGATTAAAGGCGTGCGCCACCACTGCCAGCCTGTACACCAGAGTCTTAACGCTAACAGACCTTTCTTTCTTCCTAGTGGACAAAGCTACATTCATGGTTGGCAGCTACGGCCCCCGACCAGAGGAGTATGAGTTCCTCACGCCCGTAGAGGAGGCCCCCAAGGGCATGCTGGCCCGGGGCACTTACCACAACAAGTCCTTCTTCACCGATGACGACAAGCAGGACCACCTCACCTGGGAATGGAACCTGGCCATTAAGAAGGAATGGACAGAATGAGGCATCTGTCTGTCCGTCCCTCCACTACTTCCCCACCAGAAGAATCCTTCCAGCCACGTCGATCATGTTCCCCCTCTCCCCTCCCTGTTCACAGCTGGATCCATTCCCTATCACACACACACACATGCACACACACAGTCTCCTCACTGATGTGTTTTATATTACCCCAGCTTGTTCCCTCGAACTTTCTGCCCCTCGGCAGGGCCAGAGTTCCGAAGTTCTCCGTCTCATTTAGCATCACTCTCTTTTCTCCCAGGTTGAGTACCGAAGGCCAGAAAATGGGCAAGCTCTGTCATTAATGGCTCCCTTGCCTTCTGTTCAGAAATTCACCCTTGCCACTGGGTTCTTCTGGATCAATGAATCCCACCATCACCTTCCCTGCCAGGCGGGGCTCTTCTTTTGGGGGAAACACTGTAAACAAGACAAAAGGAAAAGAATAAATAAAATAACTGTATGTGTGACTGAGGACCTCTTTTCCCCTCCTTTTTCCTTCAGACAAACATGGTACCAGAAGCTCACATTCTGAGTCATCTTATGGATGGGGGTATGGGTAAGATCCGCGGTACAGGGGATGTACAGGTCCTTGCCAATAGGTTGTTACATTATAATGGTCAGTGAATGCTAGTAATACAGAGAATGAACATTCTAAATTTCATTTATTGTATAATATTTTCTTAGGGGACCTTCATCTAAGATTGAGATGTACACCCCACTTCCTGTAGAACTTCCATCTTAGACTTGATTTGTGGGCCAGATCAAACTCTGACTCCTGCTTGGGACTCTTCCACGGGCTCTCGACATCTACTGAATGAAGTAGAAGCCTCTGTGCTAGTTTAGTCTGCTCCATAAACGCCTTTTGCAAGATGGCCCCAACAGCTACCATTCTATTCCTTTCCCTAATTCTCAGTGAGTAATATTCACACACATTCTATTTTCATGTCTGGATTTTAATTCCTCCCATGCGATGTCTTGTTAATATTGACTGTCAGCTTGACAGAGTCTAGAAACACCCAGGGAAAAGGCCTCCTAGGCACGTCTGTGAGGGAGCTTCTAGACCAGGTCCATTGAGGTGAGAAGACTCATCCTACCCATGGGCAGCATCACTCCATGCTGGGATCCTGGACTGAATAAAATAAGGAACTCGAGCTGAACACTATCTCTGCTTCCTGACTGCAGATGTATTGTGACCAGCTGTCTCATGCTCACACCGGCATGGCCTTCCTTGCAGTGACTGACTGTACCTTCAAACTGGCAACCAAAATAAACCCTGCCTTCTGTTAAGTTGCATTTGTCAGTTATAATATTTTGTCTTGGCATATAAAGGCAGTCTGCGTCCTCCACACATTTTGATGTCTGGACAATCGTATTCGCCCAGGACGCTGCTTGTACTTCCTGCAGGCAGATATATCCTTCATCAAACCCTACATTGCCTCATGTTCTTCATCTCTCACAACAGCCCATGAATTTTCCCACATTTCACCACTCTCTGTTTCATATTTAAATCATAGATTTTTGTGATCACCTCCCCCATCAACAGTCTAAGCTGAGAGACACTGGATCAACCCACAGCTATATTTGTAGCCTCCTACTTAAAATCAATAAGAGGCACAGAGTATTTATATATTTTTATTATTTAAATGCACTAACCTGTCTTTCTTCTGGTTGGATATGTTCCAAAGCCCTGCCACTTTGAGCCATTTATCACAGAAGGTGAAGGTTCCCCTGGAGCCAGCTGTAAAGTTCCCAGAGCACTAATAACCCACAGCCATTTCACTACATCAGGCTGTCCTGGATCAGCACCCCCATCCAATCAACTCAACATCTAGGGTTGGAACAGGAGAACAATGAAAATCTCCAGGTCCAGGTGCCTAATCCTTTCGTTTATCTTCTTGTATGGGCTGGTCCCAGAAGTTACAGCAGATGTCGAAGAAGCCTCAGGTAAAAAAAAAAGGGGTGGGGGAGGTTGCTCCATAAGGAAGCATGTCATAAGGAGAAGAGAGGGGAATATGAAAATACTCTGCATATTTTCATTCAAACCTAGAAAAATTTCCAGAAGTTTCTGAGTAAGGACGTGTGTTGCCAAGCATCTACCCCTCTTACTGCAGATGGTCTCCACACTCCCCAGGAACCCATATGGCTCACAGACATCTCAGCCACTGAGGAACTCATCAATGCCGCTGAAGTGGCCATCATAGGCTTCTTCCAGGTTTGTGCATACACCCTACCTGCTGTACCCTATGGCCAGGCATGTTCTGCCTTAGGGTAGCCATGATAGTGGCCTGTTGGGCTAGTGATGTTGATTTAGAAGCAAGAATGTTCAGATTCTGCTTTCCGCTGGTCATCTGAGGCTCCTTCATTTCAAAACAGGCTGCCCTCTACATCGGGTCTTCCTTGGACCTGCTTCAGGATCTCTGAGTCCCATGGTGGTGTCTCCTTATCTATGGGCACTTTGAAAGAAGGTGTTTGCAGGAAGTCAGCTTCCATCATACCTCACCGTTGTCCTAAATAGCCTCAGCCTGTACCTGTAGTGCCCCGTCAATAGGCAGAAGTGATTGCAAATGCACCGTTTAAATTTATTTTTTATTATGTATTTCAGATAAGGTCTCATAACTTAGGCTGGCCTGAAACTCTCTGTGTAGCTCATGATTCCCTCAAACCCACAATCCTCCTGCCTCAGCCTCCTGAGCAGTGGGATAATGGGAATATGCCATAATGGGACTAGCCAAAAGGATAGGCTAACTCTATTTTTTTATGACCTGGAAACACTTTTCACGGGCTGTGCTAAAGCAAATAGGTAGACTCTTGTTGATCTTTCTCACCCTCTCTGAACACTGAGGAAGGTGAAGTGGTCACTGACATCTTCCACAGTGGCTGTTGGTTAATACAGACAGCCGGAAACAAGAGGGTCTCGTTCCAGGCTTTCCCTCTGTCTTTGCCGAGGCCGCCTCGCAGTCCTCACAGCTAACCCAGTCCCTGTTCTCTTACTTCAGACCTTTTTGTATACTTCCCTTCTTTGATTCTAGCTCACATCACCCTGTCCATTCTGGGCACAAGGCTGGAAATAGCGATGGGTGCTAATGGGAGAGGAAAACGGGTTTTGGTGATGGGCAGAAAGGGAAGAGAACTAGAAGGGTGCAGTAATATAAATAGCCACCAGATGGCGCCATTGGGTCCTTGAGTAATGCTATTCAAAAGTACAGATTACAAACCAACAAATATCCACAACTTCTAAGTGAATAACCCTCTTCCTTTCAAAAGAGCAAGTCGCCAACTCTGTCTTGTTGATCCCAAATGCATGACTAGCAATCTTTCCTTCTCCTTGCCTTTAGTCCAGTGAGATGCAGAGAAAACAGACATCCTAACACATTACAGAGGACAGGGCCAGTGTCTGTGGGAGGACAGCTACCACCACTGATGAGTGGCTTTTCGGCTCCCTAAGTGCATGCCTGGGATGCCGTAGATGCATGGACCAGTAAGTGCCTTCATGCACAAACTGGAGGACCCTTGGAAGGAAAGGACCTGATCCTCAGCCCTCTGCACATTTCCAGTGACTACGCTCAGCACCTGTTTCTGTATTTTGCATTGCCCTGTTCCTCCACAAATTGTCCCCAAAACATTTGCCTCCCTGGGTGTATGAGTGACTGTACAGCCCAACTTCACAGACCTCTGGACGCCAAGACTTCCCTCGGCTACTAGTAGAATTCAGGCTGTGTGATAGGGTCGCACAAAAGAACCCAGGTTTAGACACAATTTTCATAATCACCTATAAACTCACACAGCCTGGGAAACTCAAAAATGCCACTGCAAATGTAGCCTGCAAGTGTAAGGGTGACTTTTGTTTGCTAGACTAAAACCCGGAACTGCTGGCATGAGCACGTTTGCCTGCCCTGTTTCTTCCCTCACAAATGACGTCTGGGTTTCTCTCTCTCTCTCTCTCTCTCTCTCTCTCTCTCTCTCTCTCTCTCTCTCTCTCCCTCTCACCATTGTTGTTTTTAGGATTTAGAAATACCTATAGTGTCGGTATTCCGCAGCATGACACAACAGTTCCAAGACATATCATTTGGAATCAGCAACAGTTCTGAACTTCTGACCCACTACAACATCACCAGAAACAGCATCTGCCTCTTCCGACAGGTAAGCTGGGTGGGCAGCTCCAGCCTACTTCTAGTTTTTCCATGTGAGGCAGGAAAGAACCCTACGTCCTGAACATTGTCGCCGGTGCCAAGTTCAGGGACACTGCTGACAAGGACAGTGACTCAATTCAGTCTAGAAAACAGGTGCTGGGCTGAGGTGTACAGAGGACAGCGATGCAGAGGCAAGATGTGGGACTAATGGAGCGGCTAGGTCCCTGACCAGGCAGAGGGGAGAGTGAGCCACGCTACACACACACACACACACACACACACACACACACACACACACACACACACACACACATGGGGCAGGGGGGCAAGGCAGACACAGAGAAAAAACAGGAGTTTTATAAATACAGGTGTGCGTGACAAGTTTCCATGTAGCTCAGGATGGCCAATTGCTACATAGATGAGGATTACCTTAGACTTCTGATCCTCCACTTCCCAAATACTGAAATTACAGGCATGTGCCATCAGGACCTATTTATGCCTCACAGGGAAACCAAACCCGGGGCTTCATGTGTACTAGGCAAGCACACTACCAAGCCCACAATTTTATAATTTTATATGTCAAGAACTTGACCTATGTTTAGCAAACATTTTACTAGACAATTCATGTGTGTGGTAGTGATGATAGTAACATCGAATAGACTCTCTGTTCTCATAGAACCTAAAATGTAGCAAAAATTTTAACCACTATACTATTAGAAAACATAACTATAAGCCGGGCGGTGGTGGTGCACGCCTTTAATCCCAGCACTCGGGAGGCAGAGGCAGGCGGATCTCTGTGAGTTCGAGGC